ATCGCGCGAATCCATAGCCGTCCATTTGCTGTTCATACCTCTTCTTAATTTCTTCATTCTTGTCGAGTTTCCTTTCGACCAGTTGGAGACGTCGCATTGCCGATTCGTAGTTGTCCGGCAGCACAGGGTCGTCCTTCTTCCATAGTAACCCCGTCTCGTATCCTCCCGCCGGTAACGGACGAGTTTTCTCCTCTAAAATGCGTAGGGCGCGATGTTCCTCTTCATTGTAGGACCTCTTCGGTGCGATCCCCAGCGATTCGAGCGCGAAATGTTGCTTCATCATTTCTTCCATCGATTGTTCCTCTTCATGTGTCGTCACTATGTGGCTGATTCTGTGCACCTGCTGTCTTGTCCTGCCGCGACTCGTACCGTGCAGTACCCATCCCAGGTCGGTGAGTGATGCGACCGGCTGCGTGTCGGATCCTCTTCTGACTTCGTGGGCCAGCAGTAGGTGCCAGTTGTCTTGCCCCAACAGTACCGTCGGTTTGCACTCTTCATAGACCAGTTCCCTCTCTATGTCTCGTAGATGTGGACAGCCCTTGATGACGCTGCGCGGTACCGACTGTGGTGATAACTGCAGTCTGTCCATCGTCCGTGCCCCCACTGTGTATTCTTGTGAATTCCGCCCGCGGATCTTGAAGTGAACACGCGTCGATTGAGCTGCGTTGATCCGTGCCCCGGCCACACCTTCCATGTAGAAGGGTGCGGGGGGACCCGTAGCACCGATTCGCTCCGCCACCGCCGTCTCGATGATGGTGCAAGTCGACCCGTCGTCCAGTAGCGCGTAGGTGTCGCACGTTCCCGTGGGACCGGTGACTCGTATCGGCAGGATCTTCAGGAACGCGATCTTGTCGTTTTCCTTGCCGATGCGGCGACTGCGGCGGACTTGTCCTCGACGACGTGTGTTGTTACTTCATTCTCCGGCTGTTGTCGCGTGGTGTGCAGCAGAGGGTGATGAGTCTGCGTGCACTCATCTACTCCACATCTCTTGCTCTTGCAGGCGTGGCGAAATCTTCTCACTTTGAGGCAACGGAAACACAGCCTATGAGTCTTCGCTAGCTCCCATCTCGCCGATGTGTCCGCTTCCTTCATCGTCTTGCAGTCCGATGGAGCGTGTCCCTCTCGTCGACACATCGGGCACGGTGGTGTAGCGGGTTTCTCCTGCGTCGTGTATGTCTTCGCCGTCTTCCTAGGAGCGGACTCCCGCCGGTCTTCGGACGGTATCTCCTCGGCGGGGGCGAAGTTACCACATCGTGCGGCGGTCCTTTGCAGGAACTGAGAGAGTGTTATGAGGTCCGGTTGTCCCTCCGGTTGGTCGTTGGCGAAATCGTAGTACTTGAAGCGTAGTACCGACGGCATCTTCTCTGTGACGTTTCTCACTGTTTCTTCATTGTAGAGGTAGTGACTCTTGTTCAGCGCTCGTATCGTGACGTTCTGCACCTTGCTTGCGAAGAGGCAGACGTCTCTTGCGTTGTCCGAGAGTCGTGGTAGCGCGCGGAGTTTGTTCAGTTCGGCTGTGACGAGTGCTCCAGGGCGGCCGAACCTCGCGGCTAACATCTTCATCACTTCTTCTGCGGTCGTAGACCCGACGAATAGGGAGCGTGCCGCGTCCTTTGCGGCCCCCTTCAAACTTCTGCGCAGTCTTGCTAGGTTCTCCTGTTCTGTGTGTTGACTTGCGCTTTCTTCATAGGCCATCTTCCATGGTAACCACTCGCTCGACGATCCATTGAAGACTGGCAATTCGGTGACTCTTGACGCTGTGGAGGGCAGTATGTTGCGAGCGGCCATCTGCATGGCGATCGCAAACTCATTGCAATCGATGCCCACCTTCAGCACCGGTTCTTCTTTCTTCATCGACTGCATCGCTGCTGCTATCGTAGGAATGGCGGCATGTGGGTCAACGTGGCGTGCGTGGTCCCGGTGAAGTGCGTCGCTGCTCGGCTGTGGCGGCGGCGCTCTCGAATCCTCTTCAACGGGTCTCGATGGGACGAACCCCTGACGCTTGCCGGTGACTTCTTCTATCTCTGGTACATGCGGCTCCATCGTGAGTGCCAGCGTGCTTCGATGAACCCAATCCGACGTTCGTTCTCTTCTGACGGTAGCGTCGTCGTCTTCTATTTCCTCGTCGTCTTCCGATTCGGCTTCCAGGGCGGCGACACGTGCAGCAGCCAATTCCACCTCCTTTCGAAGTAGCTCCTCCCGTGCCTTGGCCAGAGCCTTCTTCTTCTGTGAGGCCGTGGTGCGAACCGTGCGTGCCGTGCCGTGCTTCGGTTCCTTCTTCCTTGCTGTCTCCTCTGTCGTTCCTGTGGCTTCGGTAGTCTCCGTGGCTCCTGTGGTCGTCGTATCGCCGGACGTGTTCGTAGTCGATGTGGTGGCGGCGGTAGACGACGTGGCAGCGACAGATGACGTTCTGACAGCCGCAGACGACGTGGTGGCAGCAACGGACGGCGTGGCAGCGACGGACAGCGTTCCGGCGGCCGTAGTCGACGTGGTGGCGGCGGACGTTGTGGCTTCGGTGACGGCGATTTTTTGCTGCGACGACTTCATGTTTCTCGTAGTCGGCATTTCAGCGATCCGGCTTCAGAATGGTCTTCCTCCAGCGATCCGGCTTCTCGATGTACCAACGGTGTTCCTCCAGCAATCCGGCTTCTCGAAGGACCACGATGTACGGTATGGACTGCCGTTTGGTGAGCGTGGACTGTAGGGGCGTTGGTTCAGGCTGGAGTGAAACACAGCGATTACTATTCTGAAGCCTCCGGTACCGTCTGAAGAGAGTATTTTTTCTTCTTGTCCTATTTCTTCTCGAGTGTAGTGCGTCGCTGCTCGGAAGCGAATGCCGCTCGACGGGAGGCGGCCTATCTTTATACCCGCCCGGTCGCACGATAACATTTCTAACTCGCGTTAGCGAATCTGTGCGAGCGGGACGGGGCGAGAGTGAAAGAGACGCGTATCTCTTTAGAAGGTACCATATAGCGTCTATTTATTTATTACAATTTGCTTATTTGTTTTTACAATTTCTATTTCTATTCGCAGGTAATAATGACAACACGTAAAGAATGCTTTATTTAACTTACACTATAGGTATCTTAAATCTATGTAAAATCTATATAAAATAACAGTATACAAAAACGATTAAAACTAGGGACTTAACAACTATAAATTATCTCTATATACAAATAATGTCGCGAACAAGATTTATAGATACAGTGTTTTATGTATAGGAAATAGTTAATAGAATATTAATAGTATCTAATAGTAATAGTTAATAGTTTATAAGTTGCATAGTTTAAGAGAAATAAAGAGTTTTTTGTATTGTTTTTTATTCCCCCACAAAAATAGCTATATCTCGAGAAATAGAATAGGTAGGGCTTAGAAACTTATAGACGACCTAGGTTGCGTTAATAGGACTTAGATTCCTATTTCGTTAGATTCCTGGTAAAACAGGAAAATAGTTAATAGTTTTTAATAGGCCATAATAGGGTCTATAATAGATAGAAATAGGTGTCTTTAGGCACAAATAGATAGAAATAGGTAGACCTAATACCTAGAAATAGAAAAAAACTTTGTAATGTACGTTGCGCGGCGGTTATCGCTCGACTGACGCGCGACCCCGCGCTCCTGAAAATATATATACGCGTGGGAAGGAGTGCGGGGTCATATAAAAGTCGCGATCCGCGAAATCGGCGATTATTTGATAACCGCACGCCGTGCAGCGCACAAATAGTATGAAAAATGTAGTCTGTAAGTATGCCCACCTAATAATAGTAGTCCTAAGTCGATCTTTGTAAAATTATAGTTTTGACAATAAAATTTGACATAGGGGGTGAGGAGACTAGTGCATCGCTGGTCCGCTGGCTAGCGGCCATAGGTGGATATAAAAATAGGGCCATTACGGGCCAATAGCCATAGCTGAATCGACCTCCCAATAGAGAGCAAGATAACAGCAAGAGCAATCGCGAAAATAGTCTCCTCAGGCCATCGTCATTATTTCAAGAACTCTTCGTTTTATTTCTTCGTGTCCCATCGTCATCTCTGTCCTTCATCATCGTCCTTCATCATCGTCCATCTTCGCTTCGTGTCATCATCGCGGCGGAGTCTTCACATCGCTCGTCATCGTGCACATCGACGTCGTCCTTCTGAGGGCGACGTATAGTGGTACAGCCGTACCTGGTCCTTCACTGCAACGCGCCTGCGGCGAAGACTGAGGGCCCCTCGGGAAAAGAGTGCTTTGTGCGTCCACTGTGCAAAGTACTCTCTTTTCTCGAGTAGGATAGGTCGACGTCCGGGCGTACCAGCGCCCGGTGCCTGCCGACGCGCCTACCGACCCATCGGGGACAGCGGCCCGCACAGATATAGTAAGGCAAATTTTATAACAAAATATATAAATTTCTATTTCCATTATTATTATTATTTCTTATTTAGTTACAATCAAATCATATTCTTATTACTAAAATTTTATATTATACTAGAGAGAAAGAAAGATAATCTTTTTTACTTTTGACAATATCTTACTTACCAGAGGGAGACTTTGTACAAAAGTCGATTGCTTGGGTACCTCTGTCTTGTTCGTGTTTCAACCGTGAAGCAGTTGTGTTTGTGGCTGTGTTTCGGTTTAAAGGGTGGGATATGGCGTGAATTTACTGGGTACATAGGATGGGGGGTATCATGGGCGAAACAGTATATTCTTTTATGTCCATGTTGCTGCTCATGTCTATAGGCGACAGTTATCACTCTTCATCAGGTGGACCGTCAGCTTGTTTGCCATTCTAAGTTGTATAAAAAAAACTTCTTTGTTTTTTTTTTAAGTTACGGCTTTGACATCTTATACGTCAAAATAATCATGGTTTCACTACTGGGAACTGGTTTCACTCTGCAAGAGAGGATCCATTACTTAGTTGATCAGACGGCTGAATTTTATTTTTAATGGTTGTTTTATAATATTTAACGACCGTTCTTCCACATCGACGGAAGAATACAAAGAAGAATTTTCTAAAACTCACTTTGCCAGGGGTGATGGAATTCAAATGCTTTACCCTGGCGATGTAGAGAGTGTCACCATTTTCGGTATTGCCAGCAGCAATAGCTCCTGGTGGCACCTGACCGTGACTGCTTGTGACCCAATGTACATCATTGGTCCTAGCACAAAATATCTGAAATAAAATAGAATTTATGATTAGGTAGATAATAATGAGGAAGAAAGGTTTTTGAGTGGCGACCCCGTACGGGCAAACGCAATGTAGGACGACCCCTCCTAGATGGACTCACGACCTGAAATGTATTGCAAGGAGTCAATAGATGCAAGTGGCTCGGAACCTTTCTTTATGGCAATCTATGGAGGGAGCTTATATTCGGCAGTGGACGGATATCCATAGAAATTAGGTAGACTGATACAGTCATACAGGTAAATATAATTTTTTTTATTGTGCAGTAACCAAATGCCTGATCATTGGGAGATAAGGCCGCTAGACTATCAAGGTTTTATAGATAGTTATTCTTTATTATTTCTTCTAAAAGATTATTACAAGAAATGTTCACACTGAGAAAACAATGGGCGGCTTTATCGCTACAAGCGATCTCTTGCAGGCTACATTTGGATGGAGAGGAGTAGTTATAAACAGTTTTATCGGAGGCACGATGAAAATTTTGTTGTTTTAAATATATATGATGTGAAATATAATTAGTAATATAAATGTTTATTTTTATTTTCTATTAAATATACATACAAAATTACATATATAAATATACACCAACTTACTAATATACATAAAACATACAATTATAAAATTGTTAGGTGTGCAAATAAATAAGCATGATAACTAGACAAGTAAATTATGATAATGACAGCTTGCTCAAATAAAAATCCTTAAGTTTGTTTTAAAACTCGTCATATATTTTATATTTCGTAGAGAAATTGGTAAACTATTCCATAGCCGTACAGCTTACACCGTGAATAATTTGTCATAAAAACTAGAAAAATGTAGGTACTGGCGTCTTCAGCTGAAGGCCCTCAAAAGACCTTAGATTAAGAGAATTAACAAAATGTAGAAAATCAAATCAATTATAACGTATTTTTAAAAGTGCATGTTTTGAAGTATTCGTTTACTCTCTTTAACTTTGGAACAATCTTACTTAAAATTATTATTATAAGAAACTAGCTATTTTCTGCACCTTTGCTCGCCTGTATTTATATGTATATATGTGTATATGTATGTATTGGTATATAAAGTGTCTTATGTATTAAACTGGGATATAAACAAATTTCATCCAAATCCATTCAGCTATTTAAGTATGTTTGAATAACAAACATACTGCTGTGAATACCGTGTGATTGAGTATAAACATATGTCATAGTAGGTATGTGATCCAACTGTAATTATTAGTGGATTATATAAAAAAACCTTATCAATGTTACTCACAGTGAAAATAGAGATTTTTTAAACTTTTTGACACTCGATGATTCAAACAGTAGGCTATATAATTGGGTTATAACAAAAAAATATTTTTTTTATTTATTTTCTTGTGGTTACCCTTACACATTTGTCAGCACATTAAAAGAGCTTTCCATCTGAGTATAATATCTATGCTGTGCTATTACTAACAATCCCTTTTCTCCAGCCCTTAGATATTTACCTCAAAATTATGTACTGGAACTTCTTTCCCCATATGTGGTACATACGCGGCCCGGTGCTTGATTGATAGTTTTCCTGGGATTAACTCCCCAGCATGACGTGCTCTGATGATATAAAGTTGACTGCCATCCCAACCTTCCTTCCCTGCTACAAGTGCTTTGAGTTTTATAGATAGAGGTACATTCGTCGTAGTTGATGCCCAGTTATAACCTGAAGTTAATAAATAAATATATTTTATGTTTTAGAAATGTATTGTTACAGGAACATCAGGTGTCATCATCATTATGTCAGCCTTTAATTATCCACGGCTGAACATAAGCCTTCCCCATAAGGGGATTTTTGCTATTATTGCTAGTTTTGCTACCACGATTGGCAACCATATTTATGCTATCAGTGATGTTTCGAGAGGGACGATGCTGTCCATCTTTCAACCATTAAGTTCCCTTAGTCGCCCCATATGACATCCATGCGAAAGGAAGGGGTGGCCTATTCTATAGCGGGACTAGACGGCGGATATCACGTGTACTACATTAAAAATTTATATGGATATGTATGTTTTTTTTTTTAAGATAATATTGTATTTGCAAATTTGTCGCAATAGTGTCGAAAAATTAGAAAGATTGTACGTTTTATAAGATTGTACGTACTTATACCGATACTTAACTTTGTAATTATTAATTAAAAAAATCTCATTTAAATCAAAATTGTGATGTAGTCATTAAAGTTTAGACAGCAAGCCCCCCGCTCCAGCCACTCCTCTGGGTGACGTCCGGGCGGATGGTCGTGTGAGTCGCATTGTGACATATTATTGTTTATTATTTCCTACACCTACCTACCATACCATGGGGGGGAAAGGGATTGTTAGCAATGGAGTTTGACTGCCCCATTATTAGCAATTTGCTCTATTAGGTCGACCTCCACGTGGTTCGCCCTGGAAACCATCGTGAACAATTCTTATTGAATTCGTCACGATGGGCTAACTGACCTGCTTCATCCTCACCTATCATCCTTCAATTATCATCCTATCATCCTTAGACAAGAATTAGATAAATAAAGATCATACTGCCAAGGTTTATTGCTAGTAATGGGACTGCTAGACCACTTTGTTAACAACCTCTTTCCTCCTACTGCTGTAAGTTTGTTATATGTATAAAATAGAGCTTCGACCTTTTCCATCCCATATAGTAAGTGTATACCAAATGTTATAGTTAAAGTATTATATATATTATATAAATAAACAAAGGCATTTGCACAATTATAATATTAGTCAGAATATAAAACATTAAAAGATAATTTTTAAAAGCAACGTTTCATACCCGGTAAATTCGACAAAATTCCACGGGCAATGCGGCTTGAAGCTGAAGCAGTCGAAGCTACTACACGATCTTTTACTTTTTCTGAAAAGAAAGAATCCGTTACATCAGCCGTTATCTGTTCACTACTGAACGTAGGTGTATTTTTTTTCTTTTTTTTTTGATGGGTGAAAATGGAATGGTAACCCCGCCTGCGCTAACGGGATACGCTGGCGGAGCACCAGTGAAGGGTGATAGATGAGAATGAAAACAGGCCAGTTAGCCCATCATGATGAATTCATCAGGAATTAACCATGATAGTTTCCAGGGGGAACCGCGAGGAGGTCGACCTGGTTGGGTATATTGCTAGCAATGGGATTCTCAGTCTCCATTACTAACAATCCCTTTCCCCCCACACGTACGTGTATTCATCACGATGGGTTAACAGGCCTGCTTTCATCTTCACCTATCGTCACTCCCTGGTACACTGAAAACGTTACTATTTAATATTCACCCATTAAAAACATTCTATTATCACCTATTTATAATTATTATCACGCCCGCTAGATAACTCGAAATATATTTTTAGAGATTTTGTCCTTTACACTGATTTTATGTTATGTTGTTTTTCCCCCTAAGGTATCTCATATTCGTAAAGACTAGGGATTAAGAAAATTTCGCTAATCAAATAATGAAATCTATACGTTAATTAAGGTAATCTATTCCTTTGGTACTGGTGTTTGTTTGCTTTTTATACCACGAAGGTGGCAAACAAGCATGCAGCTTGTGTAGTGGTAAATAATCTGTAGTTATGGACGCTTGCAACGCTAGGGGTATCACGTGCGCGTTGCCGACACTGAAAAAATCTTAATATAGTTTTAATATACATGTATACAATAAAACACATACTGTATAAGTTGGAAGAAAGAAAAAAAAATTTTCCTAGTTACAACTAAAACATAAACAATTATAAGCTTAAATAAAAAGAAATTACAAGCATTTTTTGTTTATAAGTAGGGTTTCAAAAAAAGAAAATTAAAATTCTTGAATAAAACAACAACCTGTAACTGTACTAATGACACTACATAATGGTATGTACATAATACATACCTTGTACTATGTAGTGACTTAGGCATAAATACAGTTACGAAATTCTATTCATGTTATTGTACCCACCTTTAACTTTTTCGACGACTTTAACTGGATCCGACGTCGATTGTTGATAAATATTGGTGACATAGGTTGCGTTCGGTGGTGGCTGAGGTTGGGGGACGGGCTGAGTAGGATATGCCGGCATATATACCGGGGTAGTTACATATGTTATCGTGCCAGGTTGCACATATGGATTAGGGATTGGATGTTGAACAGGATATGGACTATATGGTGGTGGCGGCCCTGACGGTGGTTGATCTGAAAATGTTATATAATATCATAGTACAAGTAATAGTACTAAAGCAATAATATTTAGATAGTTAAGTTACATGTGTTTAGATTCTAACTACCCTGAGTACTGTACAGTAATAGACTACAAACTAATACAGTAACTAAGTTACAGCCGTAAAGTGCCTACCAGAGGGAGACTTTGTACAAAAGTCGATTGCTTGGGTACCTCTGTTCCATTCGTGTTTCAACCGTGAAGCAGTTGTTTGCATGGCTGTGTTTCGGTTTGAAGGGTGGGATATGGCGTGAATTTACTGGGTACAAAGGAATAACACCCAAGTCCTCAGGAATGGCAACGCATGGGGGGTATCATGGGCGAAACAGTATACTCTGTTATGTCCATGGTACTGCTCATGTTTATAGGCGACGGTTACCGCTTTCCATTAGGTAGGCCGTCAGCTTGTTTGCTATTCTAAGTTGTATAAAAAAAATTCTTACTATATTTGTGATCTTAATGATTATCACAATTTTGTATTAAACTTTTTATTTAAAATAGTAAATAAATTGGAGGCACACTTGATGGAAAGTGGCAACGGTCCTCTATTTTTTACTTTTTATGTTATATTGTTGTATGAAAAATAAATGTTTTCTCTTTATAGAAGAGACATTTTATGCTAGCGTATATTGTAATTTCATTACCACCACGCAAGCACAGCTCATTTAATTAAAATTCCAATAACAAAATGGTACTTTGTAAATATATTAGATAGTAATACAACGTTATTTTGCAAATAAATTACTTCAATTATTTAACTATGGTATATACATAGTATATATAAGACCTAACTAGCTTTTGCCCATGCCTTCTTCCGCAAATTCACGATATAAGTATTAATTGACCTGAATAAAAAGTAGTCTATAACTATTCTTCTACAACACAAAGACTACATGTATACCAAATTTGATGACAATTGATCGAACCGACCTTACTGGTGCCCCGCCAGCGTATACCGATAACGCAGGCGGGGCACCAGTAAGGTGAGATAGGTGACTATGAAAGCAGGTCCGTTAGCCCATCCTAACGAGTTCAACTAGAATTAACTACAATAGTTTCCAGGGGGAACAGCGTGAAAGTCGACCTGATAAGGCGTATTGTTAGTTATGGGGAAATTAGATTCCATTACTAACAATCCCTTTCCCCCAACCGATAGTGTTAAAAGGTAACAAACAAACATAAGAATACCAAATGACTATATTTGGTATTCTACGTTTGCATAGGTGAATACTCGTATCCGGGGGGAAAGGGATTGTTAGTAATGGAGACTAAAAATCCCATTGCTAACAATATACCCAACCAGGTCGACTTCCTCGTGCTTCCTCCTGGAAACTATCATGGTTAATTCCTGATGAATTCATCATGATGGGCTAATTAGTCTGTTTTCATTCTCATCGATCACTCTTCACTGGTGCTCCGCCAGCGTATACCGTTAGCGCAGGCGGGGTTACCATTCTATTATCACCCATCAAAAAAAAAAAACTCGTATCCGGGTATAATAAGTACTTTATTTAGCAATTTATTATTATTTCAGCCATTAACTGTCCACTGCTCGACATAAGCCTTGCTCATAAGGGGAGTTTTGCCAGTAGTTGCCACGTTTGGCTTAAATTTTAATTTAATTTACGTACCTATATTATCTTTCACAACTAATACTGTTTAATAGGTAAAAATTTATTATTACTACGTGTACTTACATGACATGTTTATATAATTGAAATGGGCACTTTTTATAAATTGAATTAATGAAAATATATCGTTATTGTTTTATTAATGCGAAATTGCTTTATATGACTCTAACGTTGCTAAAATTTATTGACTATATTATTATCATTTCATGTTTCATATCGCTGGAACATTCTACTTTAGATTGATAAGATAAATTGTTATTGAACTAAAGAATTTCAATTTTGTCTATGGTGCAATAATTACCTAGTAGTAATACCTACTGGGATTCCATACGTAAAAAGTATAAAGGAACCCTTCAGAGGCATGTTTACGAGTATCCATCCATTCGTCTGTCAGTTGCAGCGCTATATCACAGCAATTACTAATGCTATTGAAATAGTTTTACATATTGCAATAGATATAATGAAAAATTAAAAATAAAATATTTTTATTTTCTTTTCAATGAGTTTTAGACTCATGTGGTATTCAAAATTTCAAAATAGAACTTCTGTCCCACATTTATGATATTATTGAGGGTTATAAAGAGGAAAGATTTGATTTTTTGTGTGTCTATTTGTTTGTGAGAACATCATTTGTGTTAAGTCAAAATAATCATTATCACACTGCGGATTAAAGTATAAATAAATATTTAAACTCAAAAACTCCTAAACCCGAAATAGCTACATTATCAGCAAGAAATACAAGCTACAGGATTTAGTTTGTATTTCTTGCTGACAGAAAATATTAAAATAGAAAAAATTCTGAACATTTTTCTCAGAAACATTCGGTTAAGATTATACTAGTTTATGACTAATATGTAATTAAAATTAAATGTTTTCGGTGTACTTTTTTAGGAATGAAGTGATTGAATCGAGTAAAGCGTACCCTAGATTGTCCAGGACAATTTATTCTTGTTGTGTTGAGAGTTGTTTTATTAGAATTATGTGGAATGAAACTTCTTACTTAGTGTACCTACAGCTGTATTATATTGTATTATTTTATTATACATTATGTAAGTTTATTACAAGATTAACTATTTTTTTATGATTTTATCACATTATTACACGTCTATAGTTTTATCCTACTGCAGAAGAACCTATTTTATTATTAAGTATATTATTGTAATGTATATATACATTATATAGCGCCATCTAGTCTCTATGTACTGTGACACTGATATTAAACCATTGATAAGTATACTTTTTTTTAAATAATATTATATCTATATTTTTAAATATTATCGTTCTTTATTATTATTATTATAGATAATATTCCAGACCAATACACACTTATAATTAAAAAATAGGCATAAATGTTTGTAATCGTACGAGGATCGAATTCGCGACTAACGTAAAGCGGAGTGATAAGCCACTAGACCATTAAGTTTGTGAAGGTACATTTTTCTATATATATATTATCTAAAATAATCAATATATATAATGCATAAGTATATCAATGTATGACAACCCTCCACTTAATGGACGACGACATCAAATGCATTGTAGGAAGAAAATGAATTATATAGCTACAATAAATATTTTACAATATAATACAATGAAAGAAGTGTCTCTGGACCGTTCCTTATGGCAGTATATGGGGGAGGCCTATGCAGTGGACAAATAACAACTGACATAATGATAACGAGAAAAAAAAACTACATTTCAGAAACATGATTATATTTATTATTAATTACTAAATACTTATACAAAAACAAAAAAAAAAAATCAGAACTATAGAAAAAGCAAAGCATACATTCAGTAATATATTTTTGCGTCTTAAAATAAGCAGGCGTTTTTGAATATTTCCTACTCTAAAAAAAACAAACCTGAAAAAATTGCTGTTATTATAAATAGACTTTAACATTTTCATTGCAGTTTCAATAATTTTCGAAAATGCCTATTCTATGACATCTGATGCCAGCATAGAATAGGCCACCCCTTCCTTTAACGTAGGTGTTGTAAGCGGCGGCTAAGGGAACTTAATAGTACAGGGATAGGCAACAGTGTCCCTAGTAAAACACCACTAAAAGCCTAACTGTTATTGCCAGCCTGTCTGCCAAGCGTGGAAACTACTGGTAAAACTCCCGTATGTTGAAGCCTTATGTTTAGCAATGGACAGTTAATGGCTGATGATGAAAATGAAAGATTTCAATCATTTTTGAGAATAAAAACTGTGAATATGTTACTCAATAATTTACCACCCTTTGGTACCTTTCATATGGGTATTATAACATAATATATATCTATACGAGCGCTAGACATATTGACATTCTGTGTTATAAAAAAAACTTGGCAAACAACTGCTAATTGTAAAAAATATAATACGTTACACAATTGCTTTCTAATTACTAGATGGCATAAATGTACCATTTCTCTGATAAATAGCGTAATTTGCGATCAAGTGACAAAAGAAAACAAAAAGACGCCGTTTGTCGCATCTTCTCACTTTCAGGGCACTTCTCTCGATAATAAGTCGAGTCTGGGGATTCTTGGCGTCTATATATCTAGCGACGTCCAGTTTTGCGGTCATCTGGAGGAAAAAGTTAAGATAGCTTCCAAAAAGTTGGGGGTGCTCAATAGGGTGAGACATATGGAATACTGTTCTCACCTATGGGCAGGAGCGCCACAGTACCAACTCCTTCCGTTAAACCGCAGCTCGAATTTGACGATTGGCGCCTTACTATCCAACTCGAGCCACTGAAACTGCGTAGAGATGTTGCGTCTCTGTGCATCTTCTATCGAATTTATCATGGCGAGTGCTCTAAGGAATTGTTCGGATTGATACCTGCTGCTGATTTTCACAATCCTACAACCCGCCATAAACTTAAATTTCATCCCAACCATCTGGACGAGTGGTGAAGAATGAAACGTAATAACGCTAGTCGCCACAAGTTATTCAGAGGAAGAAGGGAGTAAATTAGTAGTCCCATTGTTAGCATATAACCTATCAAATCGACCTTCTAACGATCCCCTCTGGAAACTTTTGTCTGGAAGAGATTGCTTTAACGATAAGACCGGCTTTTATACTACAAAGTGTAATTTATACATATTTATTCTTGTGTTATTCTTTATGTGGTGCAATAAAGTAAATAAATAAATATTATTAGTTTTAAGCAGTACAATCAGTTTTAAGCAGTAAAATGAGTAGACTAGTCCCTAGAATCAGTACTTGTTCTCGAGTACGACGGATGTGCTACGTCATTGCACTCAACGATATTTTATTTAAACTGAACCTAGAAGAATTACTAACAATTCCCTAGTTAGCATTGGTTTGGATTGGTTGGGCGAAAAAATTCAACCGTCCATTTGCACCAAAAGCAAAAAAAGAACCGCATTCACACGGAAATTTCTCCTCAGACTAATTAAAACATCGCGTTCTTTATATTTTGAGTGATGGTTATTTAAATTTTAATAACTTGCAAGAAGGACATGTTTGTGAGTTTGTTTAATTAGTCCATAGCGGTAATTAAAGACTACCTACGGTGCTTGGAGATCCTTAATACCAGCGCTGTAAGAGAGCAATCATAATTGCATACCAGTACATCAGGAATTGCCTGTCCATAAATTATTGTAGTGGCCTTGTTTCTCTTTGTAACGCGACTGGGTATGTCTTTCCTGGTAAGAGAAGGATATATGCCCACTATTATTATGACCGGTCGATTTGGAATAGGATTTTATTTCGAGTTTGCCTTCTGTTGCATCGTGCAATGTTGTTTGATCTTTTAGTGGTTTCAGGTAAAACGAAATCCTGTGGATGATATGAGGCTGTGACATTTAACTCATTATTATAAAATAGGAAAATGAATTTATTTGTTACGTTTTAGTAACTCAACAACCTAAACATTTTTCATGAAATGTGATATATATATATATATATATATATATATATATATATATATATATATATATATATATATATATATATATATATATATATATATATATATATATATATATATATATATATATTTATCAAAGTATTTTGAAGTTTCAGGTACCAAACTTGTACATTATACACAAAGATATACGTACCTACTTGTCTTATTATTTATCACTACACATACAATGTTCTTTTTTCTACTTCGTTCTAACTTTATATGATTATAGACATGACCCGGACTTTCCTGCTGTTTATTCTTCATTTTGCCCGATCAATGCATTAGTTCGGGGAAAAAGGGATTGTTACTAATAGAGATTAGCGACCGTATTACTTACATTTTTTTTTTATAATAAATATGGCAAACAAGCATACGGCACCTGATGGTAAGCGGTTATGGTAGCCTATGAATGCCTGCAATACTAGAGACATTACGCGCGCTTTGCCGACCCTGAAGAAACCTCTTTTACCCCCTTTTGAAGAACCTCATGCTGTAGTCTCTTGGGAAAGCCTCGGCAGGGAGCTCAATATATTTGATCAGATGAACTTTCACGTAGTTCCCTAGAAACCGTCATAGTTAATATTTTGTGAATTTGTCATGATGAGCCAATTGACATCACCTTCATCTATTATATTCTACCAATAATACAGGTTGGGGGTCAAGGGATTGTTAGTAATGAAGACTGAGAATCACATTGCTAGCAATATACCTAACCAGGTCGACCTCCTCGCGGTTCTCCCTGGAAACTATCATGGTTAATCCTGATGAATTCATCATGATGGGCTAACTGGCCTGTTTTCATTCTCATCTATCACCCTTCGTTGGTGCTCCGCCAGCGTATCCCGTTAGCGCAAGCGGGGCTACCATACCATTTTCACTCATCAAAAAAAAAATGCAGGTTGGGTTAACGTTCCATTGTTATTAATTTAAATAATGCACTAACTCGCATGTCTTCAGTCACGTAGCCAGTGTTTCTTGAACCACCCACGATATCTAGTGCCATCATGCAGATATTGGCATCTTTAACCAACGTAATCTATCGGTTTTCGCATGACGTTTTTATACCAGCGCAAACGAGTTTTTCATATATCGTTGGATATCTTACGTATACCAAGGCTACTGCGAACATATTCATTTCGGATGCGGCTTGCTTATGTACTCTACTATATTCTAGTGTAGTTTACTATACTGTACTCCAAGGCAACATTTTCACCTTAATAACTTGGAAAAAAATTATAATGTTCATAGTTTATTATAATTTTTGTGCACGTAAAGTATTGATTGAAATAAATAAAATTATATATAAAAATTTATAGGTATTATAATTTGAACACTATTATAATTTGAATTAATAGACCTTGATAAAACAATAATTAAGTTTTGTTGAAATTATCACAGAAACACTCTTAAATAAAATAAATAAATTAATAACAATTCAAAATTGATAAATATTCAATCAATTTATCAAATTTGTATAAAAATATTACTATAGAACATCCACAGATTGTCTTGTGGTTGGTTCAATTATTCGTTTGTTTACAATAACATTAAATTCTATTTAAAGTGACTATAATACAATTGCATAGTAAATTATATAGGATAAGTAGCAACATTTTGCTGACTGTATGGCTTTGTCCACATAGAATTGATAGTACTCCGTATGTGTGTGAATTTCTGTAAATAACACAGTTTTGTTATAATAAGATTTTTAAGGATCATTTTAATAATTTCGAAGTAAGAAAATGCTACCTCTTTATTATATTTAATGGTATACATAACCCTACTAAATTTATCATTGGTTACAAGAATGCTTATCGTCAATAATCCGGTACCAATGTTTGTCATATGACCATAGTTATCATGAACTAATAAAGATATGTAAGAAATAACAAGCAAACGTAACAAACTGACAAAGATTGTTAAATTTTCCAGCTTTTTGACAGTTGATGATCGCCTTTATTTATTTTTTAATTGTCGTCATGTCATGTAATGTAAGCCCTCATATAACTAAGTTTCATTTTACGACCTTCTCTTTATTCTACCTTACATTTATTTACATATCAGGGGATATCGTAAAAGGCAACCTAGGGAGGCAATTAAGAGAAGAAAACTAATAAGGGAAAGGTAACTTAAAATAAAATTCTATGTCATTCTGAGGCCAGTATAGTAATTACTAAGCTAAATTATTTTTTCTATGTAGAGACCAGTGCGACGTTATGGGTCATTACACCCGATAACTTTATTTACTTTGCACTAAGGGCCAATATTTTCAAATGTACATATTTACATATGATAAACCTCAAAATATTCTTTTGTCACCCTTACAGATATGTGGATGAGTGAGCCCAATTTACTATTATTTCTTTCTTCGGCAGTTGGGTAAATATAATAAAGTGTATAACATAAAATTATTTGACAGAATTTCGCGTATCATGCCTCTAACTAAATTGTTAACGAACTTCTTTTCACCAAAAGGTATTGTAATCTGGTAAAGATATCTTTTAAAAAGAAGGAGGTTGTCAATTTGGTAGTATTTTTTTATGTTTGCTACCTCAGTTTTAAACCGATTTAGAAAAATATATACCTCTCCTCTGGACTGTGTGTACGTTAATCACTGCTGCGCAATTTCCAATGGAATTGTACAGCGGTGATTATCTGTATACTATTTAATATATTATCTGTGTGTGTGTGTGTGTATTGTGTATGTAAATTTACTAACATTAATTTTAAGAATATTGTTACTAATAAATATTTAATGGACCAAAAAAGTTCCAAATAATAATAATTATAATTAATCTCTTAGAGATAGTAATATAATAGTGAAAAGCAATCACTGTTTCCTGTGTAGTCAATTATTTGTAAATTTGTTTTTGCTAAATATTCTCCTCGTAAGTTTTGAAGGAAATTATAAAAAGTAGGTTTCTATCTACGAGTATATATCTACTGACATTTGGCTAGATAATAGAAGGTGGACAAAGACGGCATGAAAATAGTAACCCAGAAATAGAAAAACAGGCAAATCACCAGCCCGATAGTGAAATGACGATGGTAAGTCGATGTGGGCTGATATCAAGATAATGATGATCTATCTATCTCTCTATTATTGCGAATTCGTAACATCCAGTAACAATTCTGTTTACAACTCCTTCCTACTGCATGACGTCGAATTATCAATGGATATCACTCCATTAATACAATTGATATTTTTATTGACAGTATGGACTTCGTTTCATGTTGATTTCAATTTATTTATCTACATATGTTTTATCTAAAAAATCAGTAATGGAAGAAACCTGTATTGCTTGTGACATTGACTAAATCAGGTCTAGGCTAGACCTTGGTAAATTTCAGAAAATGTTATTATTATCAGATTTATTATGTTTTTATTATATAGTATTAATAGTTATATCTGTTACGAATTTCAAATTATGAGAGGTAAATACCTCTATATTGCATATGTGCGTTGCTTATAAAAAGCAGATTAATATTTTATTTAAAAAAATAGACATATATTGGCCAAATCTCTAATTTATATATTTCAAATACAATACAAAAAAGCGAACGAAGCAAAAGTATCCTGAATTCCAAAGGTTTTTGAAGATTTATAACCACTTGGAATATTTATTTAATACTTAGAGTACTCATGGAATTTTCAGTCATAATTACCATGAAACTAATGTAAGTTTTTAATAAAATCCATAGATCTGTATATAAAAACGAATTCTTCTGTTAGAATCATCAAAATGGTTTCATTGTTGTGATGATAGCAGTGATGAAGAAAGCACGTAACGTACACACGTATCTAATTGACAACACAAGATAATCTCTTCTTTTTTTGGTTAAATACCGGGATTTAGTCGTAAATAATGTAATTGTTATTGTTATCAAAACCTATACTGTTTATGTGGAGGCCATTGCAGATAATTTTCAGTAAATAAATGACGAATTTATGCAGAAACAAAGAAAATTGTTATGTAATTTTTGATGGTTTATTTATTTTGTACATAAGTATATTTTATGTTGTTTAATATTTTACCTATGTAGTTTTTAATGAAAAAGTAACCCTAACTGCGCTATTGGCATATAATGGCGTGGCGTTAGTGAATTAGGTTAAAAATAAGTAATTTGGCTTATTCTGACGAATTCAACGATTAATAATAATCACGATGGTGTCCAGAACGAACCCCATGAATGTTGAGCTGAGAGTGAAGTAGTGGCTAGTATTAGGGCTGCTA